AGGGGCCTTCCCCAATCAAAAAGGTTACCATGGAGGCCTCCTTAATAAAGGGAATTTTTTCTCGGCAAGCCCTGGTTCACACACAGATCCAGACATTTCAATTATATTTTTAGTGTCCCACTTTTAAACCATATCCAAAGGGGCAAAGTATCACAAGGCATATGAAAGAAAAGGCTCCTAACGTGATAAAAATAAATAAATAAATAAATAATGGTTAACACACAGAGAGGAAGCAACTAAAGGGAAATGGAGTGTAAAGCCGGGAAATAAAAGAAAAAGTCAAAAAGAATTATAATTAATATTCTTACAGAGATAAGAAAAGATATTGTGTAGCCCGGCCGGTGTGGCTCAGTGGTTGAGTGTTGACCCATGAACCAAGAGGTCCCCAATTCAATTTGGTCGGGGCACATGTCTGGGTTGTGGGCTGGATCCGCAGTAGGGAGTGTGCAGGAGGCAGCCAATTGATGTCTCTCTCTCTCATCCATGTTTCATCTCTCTATCCCTCTCCCTTCTTCTTTCTCTAAAATTAATAAAAACATATTTATTTTAAAAAGAGAAAAAATGAGGAGTAATGGGGGGGATAAAGACACATATGCAATACCTTAATCAATAAAGAAAAAAAAGGTATCGTGTCCATAAAATAGGAACAAAAAATGAACTAAATGAGAATGAGCTTTTAGAAATTAAAATATAAAAGCTAAAGTTTTAAAAATTTACTAGCAATATTAAAAAGAAGGAATTGAAGAGAATCTTTTAGATAGTAGGATAAAATAGGAGAGAAGAAAATGAGATAGTTATTAGTTCAGAAAGTCCAACATCTAAAGAACAGATATTTCAGAAGGAAAAAAAAAGAAATTAAATAAATAATACAAGAAATTGTCCCATATGCCACCTGCACATGCTCATACTCTGTTCAGGGTCCCAGCCTAGCCCTTACCAAGATACTGATCTTGGTTTGGGGGAGAGTCTGAAACCTCAAACTAATAGAACTTTCTTCTCTAGTAGATGTAGTCCTTCCTTAATTTCAACTCATTAAAAAATGCTTTATAGTTTGAGGCAGTGGAAGGAAGGCTGGAATCAAATATTTTGATAAAAAAGATGGCAATGTAATGGCCCAGTTGTGGCAGTTTTCTTAAAGTAACTTGTAAAGCATTTACCATATTCTTAATTAGCACTCTTTGCAGAAACTTGTGCACATATATCCTGCTTTCAGAATAGTTTTGCAAATTGTACAAAAATTTAAAAGGTGAAAGCTTTTTAATAAATAAGTTGCATTTATAAATTTAAAAGGGTGGGGGGA